GATCCAGAAGAAATTTTGCAAAGATCTTTTGTTTGGCCAAAGGACGAACCCTATTGAAATTGGAGATAATCGGTCAAAATTTAGATATAGCTCCCATATATATCTTCGTCCAATTTGCCTTTTATTGTGCACCAAACGTGTAATATCAGCCCGAATTGTATGGAATTTTGCATATACACCCAAATTAGGCCTGAAAATATGTATGCCAAATTTGATCGAAATATATATTGTTCATCCGATTTGTTGTTTTTGTCCACCGCCGCCGTAATATGCACTATTCAACAACTATATTTGGGGAAATATATCAAATACAGCTCAGAAATACATTTGCTAAATTTTATCGAGATCGGTTCAGATTTGGATATAGCTCCCATATATAACTTCGTCCGATTTACCGATTTATTGTGCACCAAACGTCTAATATTTGTCCAAATGGGATGAAATTTGGCACATACGACCGAATTGAGTCCAAATTTGGTGAAGATCGGTTCAGATATAGCTATAGCTTCCATATATATTATTCATCCGATTTGTTATATTTGTTACCCACAACCGTAATATGCACTCCGTAACAACGATATTCAGGGAAATATATCAAATACAGCTCAGAAATATCTTTGCCAAAATTTATCGAGATCGGTTCTGATTTGGATATAGCTCCCATATATATTTTTATCCGATTTCAAATTAATTGTGCACCAAATGGGCAATACAAGTCCGAAATTAAAAGATACAAATGCTTTGGCATATTTAGTCCTTTGAATTTTAAATTATAATTATAATCATAGGGTGTATGATTGAATTCTCCCATAAAAAACTTTTAATTGTTATGTGGAGCTCTACTTAATTAGCAAAGTGGTGTAGGGTATCATAAAGTCGGCCCGCCCGACTTGAAGACTTTCTTTACTGTTTTTTTTTTTTTAAGAAAGGTCAACTGAGATTTTTGCAATTTGCTGGGAAAAGGTAGAATATTATGTTTCATTTCCATTCTCATCCACAAAACGACATTTTCTTTTGTGAAATGTTGTAAAACAATAAGAAAAGGAAGCATGCTTTGGAAGAAAAACATCGAGTGTAAAGGTCCTAAAGAGCTAGTTGTTGAAATCATTAAGACCTTATTTCCAATAAATATCAAGGTTCTTAAAATCGGAGTACTCAACAGAGCATAGTTTTTAAAAAAAGGTCCTCAAAAGCTCAAACGTCTGCACGGCGTGTGACAGAGGCCCGCACAATACGCTGCACCTTCATAAATGCCCTGCCAAACGAATCCCACTCGTTTCGAAAGATATTTCCTTACAGCCCGTATAAGAAGCCGAATTTTTCAACCTGAACAACAACGGAATTAAAGGTAACAATACGAGAATTCGGTTGGTCAAAAATGTTAACCCACAAGCTAGTCACCAAATGGGTCTTTTGGGTACTCTTTTCAAAATAGGGTTTAAAACACTTTTAAACGGGATCGTATCAAATCAAAATATTCTACAAAATTATTTGTCAAAAAATTCTTTAAAAGGTCCCAGAAGACATCAAAAGTCTAAATCTTACCTGAACGCCAGGAATATATAAAAATACATTTTAGTGTTGAAATTGTACTTTATACAAAGAATAATTTTAGAAGCATAATGTCAAAGATTAAATTTCGCCATAAGTCACCGAAGAAAAGACATTTTAATTTATGTAATGTATCAGGAAAATATTTGCATTAATGTTGCAAAAAATCGAAAAATATTTCCTAATTTTTTCAAATCAATTTTTCCTCGCTCTTTTTTCGAGTTGACGCCTAAAAGTAACATCAAATTTTGGTTTAGACAAAAAGTGTCAAAAGAAGAAATATTCAAAAAATAATTCTATCTGGATGTAGCAGTTTTTAAAAAAAGTTACATTCGGTATTTATGGACTCTAAGTGAAAAATACGTATTTGCTTCTTCTACTGTTAATTCAACTCGTTCCCAATTCAAGTCAAAGTCTTCCTTAATACTCAATTTTTTTGGGGATTGCGTTAAAGGAAAAATACACATTATGAGTCTCTTGACAAAAAAAAAACTTTAAATATATCTCCAACATTTCTTGTTTTTGTTATATAGCATTGGACCATATTCTAAGATTTTTAATCAGATTTTCGTTTTCATTAGGTACAATAAAATACTAAATTCAGAAGATGAACTGTACTCAATTTGAATAGATTTGTAATATTTGTTGTCGTATATATTTGATATATATGAAATCCAGATCGGATATTGTTCCTTCAAAAAAATATGTTTAAAATTGAAATTAAAGTATGATTGAATTATCCTCTGATATATACCATATGGATAAATATTAAAAGATAACGAACTAGTAGTGGAAAATGTGTGTGTAGTTGGTGTGGAGGAAAATCTTGTAACAAAATAATTTAAAAATCCCAGATTTTTCGTGAGGATATTCTTCAAATCGTTCTTAACAAATCCACCATTTTTATTTAAAAGGTCCTTTAAAATATTTTTTAAACAGGAAAACCATTTCAAAAATATATAAAAAAATTTAGGTACCATTTTTTTACGATTGCTTGGATTTTTTAAAACAATCTATTTTTTAAAAGAATGTCGGATTTTTTAAAACAATCTACTTTTTTGAAAGTATGTTAAAAAAATGAAAAACCCAATGATATTTGCACAAAAAATATACGATATTTGTCCAGGATGATTTCGTAGGTTTAAAAAAGTGTAAGTTTTCTGGATTCGGGGTTCCTCTAAAATTGTATTTAAAAGTCAACAATGTTTGATAAGGGCATCCTTTAAAATATTCTTTAGAAAACCAAGATTTTTAGGCAGGAAGACTGTTAAAAATATTCTTTAAAAAATCCACATATTTATTCGGGAAATATTAAACTTATTGTTACAAATTCCACAATTTTTGGCCAACGACCTTTAAACTTTTTTTAAAATAAAAAATTAATTTTTCAGCAGAAGGTCCTTTAGATTGATTTAATTAAAATTTTGGATTTTTTTAAATCAATCTATTTTTGAAACAATGTCGGATTTTTTAAAACAATCTATTTTTTGAAACAATGTTAAAAAAATGAAAAACCCAATGATAAAAAATGTACGATTTTTGTCCAGGATAATTTCGTAGGTTTAAAAAAGAGTAAGTTTTCTGGATTCGGGGTTCCTCTAAAATTGTATTTAAAAGTCAACAATGTTTGACAAGGGCATCCTTTAAAACATTCTTTAAAAATTCACCATTTTTATTCAGGAAGACTGTTAAAAATATTCTTTAAAAAAATCCACATATTTATTCGGGAAATATTAAACTTATTGTTACAAATTCCACAAATTTTGGCCAAACGATCTTTAAACTATTCTTTAAAATAAAAAATGATTTTTCAGCAGAAGGTCCTTTAAAATGATTTAAATAAAATTACGGCTTTTGGTATGTCCTTTAAAATACTCTTCAAAAATCCACCATTTTTAGGAAATAATGTCTTTCAAAATTCTTAAAAGAAATCACGAATTCTTGTCAGGCTTCTGAAATTATTCTTGAACATTCACGATATTTGGTCAGTAGACCTTTCAACATATTTTTTAAAAATGCATTTTTTTCGCTCTACAACACCTAATAAAAATAAAATAAACCCACAATTTTGTCCTGGAATAGCAAGAAAAAATATTTCTAAAAAACAAGTAAACAAGCACCAACCTCCACTATTTGGAAGGAACTGGAAAAATTTTAAAAAATTCCTGGAAAAATACCTTTTAAATGAAAACCGTTATTTGGGAGCTATACGAAGACGAGGACTTGCCTGCGCAATATTTTGTCATAGGCTATAAAGCACATTAGAACCTTTAAATATGAAATTTAAAATAATTCACTAGAATAATATCGAACAAATTTTGAAACAATTCCAGCCTATAATGCCTCTAATATCATAAAAATACCGAATATTGGGAGATACCATGTTATTATGTTATATAGGGGGAGGGTATAGAAACAGTCTGGATGTTTTCGAAAAATGTTTAAAAACAAAACTCCGAAAAGTAAAAATGCTCTATTCTGGACTTGAATATCTCTCAAAAATTCACTATTTGTGACAACAAATTTCTTTTAAAATCTCAACACTCGCTCGGAACTTGACAAATATATTAAGAAGCGCAAAAATCGATCTAAATCTGTGACCTGGCTCAACATATACAAGACTAGTGATTTCTACACCTGATCAAATTGAAACATTTATATGAATGCGAGACAATAAAAAAATCGGGGTATTTTTATTAAAGGAATCAGGAGGCTAAATTCGGTGGGCGTGAAAGCCTCGGTCATGAATAACTAAATGGTTTCCAATATAAGTTGCTATATTGATATTTAAAGAAAAGTCTTTTTTAGATGAATAATCGATTTTTTATTCCATCATAGATAGAAATGTATGCTGATAAAAAAGGAAACAATATAACCGCCAAAATGTCCTCCGCCATGCACACGCAGAACAATATTTTTTTTATGAAATTTCACATAATCAACTCGTCCCAACAAAAACATCGATCTTGGTAGCCAATTATTTTCATCTCTTGGGAGCTATTTTTTCCCTTATTGGTTTATTTTGTTAACATTTATTTTGTTGACATGGACAGACCCGTTCCACACTAATTTATGTTTTGCGGCACAGCATTGTTGTTCACGAAGACCAAAAAATGCTTAAGTTTTGCGAACCTCGACTGCAAGATTTATACCACTTTTGTAGTCAATTTTAATAATTGCAATGCGTAGTTCTATCAAATGCCGGAAAATGTAACTTTTGATATTTCACAGTAGCATCTGCTGTTGGAAACCCAAAAACTTCCCTCACAAAGGGTGAAGAAATGAGCCTGAGATTGTAGGTCCAAATTTCATTTCCAAAAACATTACGAAAAAACGGAGCCATATTAGGCAAATGCAATATGAAAATAGTTTCAATACTATAGTAAAAATCTAAACTCTTGTAATATTAGTACTTAAAACGTACGTCCGGAAGACGCAATTAGAGTATGTTTGTAATGTAGGTATAAAAATATTTCCATTTATTATTAAATATTTTAACTATATTCTAAACTCTATCGCTATGCTTAGGCTTATTCTAATACATTTTGCAACATAAATTGCAACCAAAGGGTATGCATTAATGTTTATCCCTTAATCCGCATAAGATTACAACAAAAGAACCTTCTTTATGTAATTGTGAAACAAAATTTAGATGTGATTTAAAACTATTTAAGTTCTACTTAATAAATATCTGTCTATAAATGTAGTTTGTGAGCGAACAGCTTCCACTCTGTGCCAATATTTTTTATATGCCATCATGCTCCATGACAGTGTACAGATTAAGGCCACAATCCTATATTTATGGCTCTACTAAAATCTTAATTACTTTATCTTATATTCTCTTTATTTTCATCATGGTTGTTATTCTGCAACTGCTCTTCAATAAAACTACGACTATGACCAGTAGTTGGAGAATTACCTGTTGGATTGTGACTACCCCCATCGTTTGCCGATTTCGTTATGCCCAAATCTTTGATGATTTCATCCACCTCCAAACATTTGCGTTGTGCCACTTGAATTGTTTCCTTCATTTGTTCCAAATTCATTTGAAATTCTGGACCATCGCTGGCGCTTTCTTCCAATATATTTTGTATTTTCTTCAATATTTCATATTCATTATTTTTGTGATGATAGTCGTAGTTGTTGAGACAAAATTTCGTATCACGCTGAAGATCATCGATTTGATCTTCAATATCACGAAATATATCCATTAAGTTTGACATGATGGCTGGAAAAGGTAAAGAAAATTGATTATTATGTGAATTTAATGGAGGAAATGTTGTGAATTTTACGAGTTTTGTAAAGAATTTCCAATTGTTAGCAATTTTTTTGTGAAATGGGCGCGCTTTGCTCGTTTTTTTCAACTGAAATTGTTTGTATTTCCTGATTAGTAGGCAAGGCAACGCAAAGTTCATAGGACGAAACAGCTGATTGAGCGTCAAGGCATGATTAGTAGAGAACGTAACAGTAACGTAGCACAATAACAAAATGACTTACTAAAATTAAACAAACCTTAAATATAAAACAATTTGGATTAAATGCATTGTAATCTTTTGACAAATATTTCTGTTAAAATGTTCGCATTATTTAAATATTTTTGAGTAAGAATACAGCATTTTGTAACATTTTATAGCAACTGTAAAATATTGCGTGTAAAGAAATAAATGACAAATCTTCGTAAAAAAAAGATCTTCGTTGGAAAATTCTTACATTTGATAATGAATTTTAATATGGGAATTGCTGCTGAATTAAATAGAAAGTCTTGGTGAAAAACAGTTAGGTTTCGAATGTAAGAGTTAGACCCCTACGTTTTTTAAAAGGCAAAACTAAGAAGGTGACCTTGTGGAATCAAGATTTCTTCAGAATTATACCGTTGTCAATTTCTCGTTGTCAAAATGTTCATAATTCTACACAAATCTAAGATTGGAACCTGTTTTCAATGAAGCTAAATTTGACATGATAAATTACAGAAAATTCAGATGTTAATTAATTGTACCATAAGTTACCCATAGCACCACGTAAGTATACGCATGCCTTGGTATTAGTACACTAACGTTTTATTATAAAGCTTGGCTCATATAGAACGGTTCCGCCCCTAGTGTGCATTTAATACATCTGATTATACTCTCATACAAGTTTTCTCCGATTTAAATCATTCAACAGGTTTTAGACACACTATATGTCCAATCTTTTCATATTTTGTGTATATTTTTTATATATATTTAATGAAATTAAAAGTCTTAATTCCAAAAATATACTGCATCTATTTTATAACCCTATGAATATCACGAAATATACAAAAATCCCCTCAATTCATTATGTGGCCAGACCACCTTAACAAATCATACCATACGCTGCGTTACGTTACGTTTCATTTGTCGTTGTGATCAGCAAGCAAAGAACAAACAGAAAATTTTCTGCTGTTTCACCTGTGCGGTCTGATCAAAATGTCTTCAACATTCCAGAAAGTATGTCGTGTTTGTCTCTCCGAGTCCGTTGGGGAAGATGACTTCATGGAATTGGATAATACCTACAGTGAAACACTATCCTTTTATGATCTCTACAATTTTTGTACAAAACTAACGGCCATAACGGACGATGGTTTGCCCCGCCATATTTGCTTTGGTTGTAGATCGGATCTGGAAATTGCTTATCTTTTTGTGAAAAAAGCATTGGCTTGTGAAGAAAAATTAAAAAGTATTCGTTCAAGTGAAGTTGATGATGATGCAGTTGCTAATGGTGGTTTATTGTCATATAAAGATCCCTTGGAAAATTTAAGCGAAGAAGAGGAAGATAAGGAGACGGTCAAAGGCGAAGAGGTAGGTAACGTATTCTTTGCTACATTTGTAACGGCTAGAATATTTGAAAATTTTGTTGTTTTTTTTTTCTTGTATAGCAGATTGATTGTAAGGAATTTAATGGAGATTTTAATAATGATCCCAGCCAGTTTATTGCCCCAGATTGTACAAGTATGCAAAATGAATATTTGCTAAAAAGAATGCTAATTTTACTTTTCTTATTTTTATATGTTTACCTTTCGCTTAGATACAACAGATAATGGAGATGATAATAACTTTGAAGATTTTACACAATCGCCTGCAATGATACCATTTACCCCCACCACTGCTGCCAATGTAGACAGTGATGATGATGACGATGATTACGATGGAGGTGATAACGATGATAGCGATTTTCTTGTCTCAATTGAATCACAAATCTTTCCACAAGGTAGGTGGTACCCGATTATCATCAGGGGGCCAAAATGATTTATTATTTTAAAAAAATATTTTTATTGCTTCCACTTTTGTTTGGAATTAAGTTTGACATTTTTGGAATTAATAAATTTGTGGTCTAAATGCTGCTCAAGACTTTGCCTAAAATGCTGTTGATCTGCAATCATACTGACGTAGGAAATATATATTCATAAATTAAGCCGTTTTTATGCCATCCACCATAAAAAACAGATTATATAGATTTTTGGAACAATTCGACGGAGGCCCCATATCATTCTTTATCAGCATACAACTCTGGATCAATTACCAATGTCCGTCTGTCAATTAAAATCAAAAATCAAAAGATTTGACAAAGCGGACTGAGTCATATCGCTCCATTAAATATGAATCTTGATAATAATCAGATATAGCATCCAGATTCTTTATGCAATATAGGCCAAATATTTGATAATGCACCAAAATACAGGGTCTCAAATGATGCCTAAACCTTCCATCAAATTTCTAGATTTAACCCATCTCCCTAAAATATTCCACATTAGCACATATGGTGACATATTACCCTCGTTGCAATATCTCTAGGTTTAAGGTATTTAAAAGCCCTGTTTTTATACCCTCCTTGAGAAGGAGGGTATATTAACTTTGTCATTCCGTTTGTCATAACCCTAAATATTCGTCATAGACCCCATAAAGTATATATTCATAATCCGCATAAAATTCTAAGTCGATTTAACGATGTCGGTCTGTCTGTTGAAATCAGGATACAGCCTACATTATTTGATGTAGAGATTCAAAATTTGGAACAACAATGTGTTTTATGTCTACGATGGTTGGTATTGAAAATCAGACATATCGGTCCACGTTTTGGTATAACCGCCATATAACGATACCTTCCGATATTCGGTATTTTGAAGAATTTTGAAGAAATTGGTATTTCTAGGTCATATTAGGTTCTAACTCCGGTTACGGAACATAGTATATATAGGTCTACGTTTTGGTATAGCCTCTATGTAACGAAATTCGGTATTTCGAAGATTTCCGTCACATTTTTTCACGGATTTGTCTAAAAATTGGTATTTGTAGGTCATAATGGGTTCTAGCTGCGGTAGCGCAATATTGTATGTATAGGTTCACGTTTTTGTATAGCCCCCACCATAATGGTACCTCCGGATATTCAGTATTTTGATGATTTTCACGGGGGTTTGTCTAAAAATTTGTATTTTAAGTTCATAATTGGTTCTAGCTCCGGTGGCAGAACATTGAATATTTATGCCCAGATTTTCCTATAGAGCACACACAACGATACCCACCGAATTTCGGTATTTTAATAATCCTAGTCAAATTCACCCACGAAATTGTTTCAAATTTGATATTTAAGAAGATTTGATAGACGACAATCCCCGAAGTATAAAATTATCTATAGAGGTTCTCGTTTTGATATGGCCCCCCTTACAACGGCCTCGCCCACTTTATGGTTTTTTGAAAAACGTTTGAATTCTGATACTTTTTTTATAAAAATGCTTTCTTTACCCAAAGGTGGAGGGTATTAAAAGTTCGGCCCGGCCAAACTTAATGTTTTTTACTTGTTATATTCTTCTCCAGGTCAATTCAAATGTAAAATATGTGACAAATTCTATTTCACCACCGTTGGTCTGAATGCCCACATGGAAGTGCATGAACCAAAAATTAAGACAATTTCGAAACCTTCCACGTCCAATGGTTCGAGAAAACGAAAACGACGGAAAGCAAAACCCACAACATCAGATGACAGTGAGGAGGAGGAAGCAAAGCCAGAGCCGGATGGAGTAAAAGAAACCAAAGAAGTTAAGAAAAAATCAAAGAGCAGTCAACCAAAACCAAAGAAAACCTTTCCCTGTAATATATGTGGCAAGGAAATGATTTCGGCATCAAAATTAAGGTATTTTTAAAAATATTTATTTTTATGTAAAAACAAATAAAATAATAATGCATTTTAGGTACCACATGGTCATGCACACCGGGGAAAAGGATTACCTGTGTACCATGTGTCGTAAGTTCGGATTAAAATTTTACAATTTAACAACAATTAAAATGTTTGCCTATTTTCCAGCCAAAGCCTATTCCACAATCTATGCCCTGAAACATCATATGCGTGCCCATACCGGCGAACGTCCATATGAGTGTAAATTTTGTGGTGATCGTTTTCTGAGACCCACCACCCTTAAGAGTCACATGCGTCGCCACACGGGCGAAAGGCCATACGGTTGTGAGATCTGCGGCAAACGTTTCATACAACACTCATCGATGGCAACCCATATGAAATTAAATCACATGGACAAGACCATTGCCTGTCCGTATTGTGAAAAGAAATATGCCAGACAGACGGATTTAAATGTTCATCTTCTATCGCATAGTGGCGATAAGCCGTTTGCCTGTAAGCAATGTCCCAGCCGTTTTACCCGACAATCAAATTTGAATAAACACATGAATCAGCAACATAATCAGGGTGTGGATCCAACGGCCAAAGGGAAATATATACGCTCAACAGCACCAGCGACAAGCGCTACTTTGAAATTGGAACAATTACCCTTTGCAGGAGGCATTGCACAGAACGCAAAACAATTACCTTCGATGTAAGTTTTAGTACTTGATTTTCTCTGAGAAAAGATGTACCACCACTTTCCTTTTTTCTTTTCCAGATCCACTACTTCATCCAATGAAATTGTGATTCCCAATGCTACGGATTTTGATAAATTTATTACACCAAATTGGCCGCTCGAGCGAACGTAACTTAAATTGATATGTTTACTTTGTTTAAAGGAGATCTCCTTCTCATCAAATTCTAGCCAATTTTTGTCGAAAATGTCAATGTTGAACCTGAGGTTTTGAACCACACTATCCCATTAGATAATTGAAATGTGTTTTATAAAATAAACTCTGATAAACTCAAGAACCTCTTCTGACTAGAGACCATTTACATTTTAAAGAAAAATGTCAGGGACAACCCGGTGATTCGGTCTGCGGTTAGTTATGCAGCTCCAACGTGGTCTGCGAATACTATTGCTACGCCGTGGAGAAGTTTAGAGACCTGAAAACTGCAGGACATGATGACTTACCCCATTTTGAGGCAGATATCTGATACATCAGTGGGCAGTAAATATGCCTACCGCAATTCTTTCCAGACCTGCCAGAACGCTGCCCTGAGAACTGCGACAGGGTGCCTCCTCATGACACCAGTGGACCATCTACATGAGGAGGCGAAAGTCCTTCCCTTACGTCAGCATAATCATATGCTTTCGTTGCAGTACCTGCTTGGGTGTTACCGTGAGAGTCATCCCAACCATCATATGGTGGATAACTCTCCCCCACCCAGGCGTGTCAGGAAGGACATACATGATCTAGAGAGGGAGGTCCAGCGCTACAAGAGAGAGCCTCTAGATCAAGAAGCCTATCAGGCAGGTCTGAGTGGCATTCACACCGATGCAGTCGCGGATGCTATTAGCAGTTATAAAGTGAATGCCGTCCTCGGAGTCCACCCCCCATCCATTGCAGCCGAAGAACGTCAGCTGCTTAGACAAACCAGGTTGTTTTGGCGCAATTACGTTCAGGATGGTGTAGTCGCCTCAATTCGTATTGGGCTCGAATTGATGAAGATGTGCGTAACGCCTGCCCGGCGTGCGATACAGGCCCGCACAATACGCTACACCTTTTTAATTGCTCAGCCAAACCTACCCAACTCACTCCAGAGGATCTCTGGCTACAGCCCGTTAAAGTAGCCGAATTTCTAAACCTGGAGCTGGAACCAGATTAGCAGAACACAAACACACACATGTACTACTGCTACATCAACAACAACCGCAATTCTTTGAACTGAGAGAAGGTTCTTCTTCTTCTCGAAATTTCCGGCAAAATGTCCTTAGATACCTTGCAACAGATTTCCATCTCTTCAGCTTATTCGCTGAGAGCCATCTTAAAAAACCTGACATAATTGTTCATCGGTGGTTTGAAAGTGTCATCAATTGGTAGGTCAATCGACTGGGAACCACATCGAGCTTTTTTGATCAACCATTTCATGTCCTTGAGGAGGACAGTTAAAACGCTGGTCCAGAATCGTACTGAGATATTTAGCGCTCAAAGAAAGATCAAGTGTAACTTTAGCCAGTACTGGCTGATTAACTTATCGTTCTCGTTTTCTTGTGAATAGTCTAAATCAGCATCCTATCAATCAAAATTGAGGGGATGCCAGAGGTATAGAGAGACCGACAAGAGCTTCACATTGTTGAAATAATAACATGCACATTTCTATAAGAGTAGTGGTGTTTCCAATTGAAAGGCGCATAACCACTTATATTTTGTTGCAAATTTATTTGTATTCTTATGTCAGGAAATTCAAAAAAAATACCGACGGACCAAACTATACACTCAGTCATACTTCATGCCTTAAACTTCTTTCGGCAGTTTGGATCGACCTTAACACCTTTTTTATTAGGAATTTTTATATTATTCCAAAAGTAAAAACATAGATAAGAGCATAACTTACACTCGGATTCTTGAGGATAATGTCTTCTAAGGTGTATGCGTCTGGTACTACTACATCGTCGCCTTGTTGTCATTGGCCTTTTTAGCTAAAAATGCCTGCCAAAATCTTTTGGTATTTGATTTGTTACCCAACTTGCTTGTGATGATCTCCTTTTTTGGAAACTCTCTTTAGAATGCCAATGACTTTCAATTTACTCTTCCAGTTCCATATTGTTACCACCTAATTTTTAAGAAATGTCATCTTCTTTCGAAAAATTTAACAACCATCCTTAATGGCTCTCAAAAAGTGGCCATCACAATTTACACATTTTCCGCCACGGCATTCTCTTCCATTTTCCCTACCCCATGTGATTTCATATGAGTCCTCAGCGACACCAGTTGTATAAACCCCTTGCCACACTCCTTACAGGTGTAAGGTCTCTCGCCGGTATGACGCATTTCATGATTTCTCAAGGCGTACTTTTTGGCAAATTGATGATTACAAAAGGAGCAGGTAAAACGACGTATCTTCAAATGCACCACCTTATCATGGGTACGCAAATCATTGGCACTGTAAAAGACCATGGAACATTTTGGACATTCATATTTCTTTTCTTTCGTATGATAGTTGATATGAATGTCCAGCTCCTTTTTTGAGGTTTTCTTCATGTCACACAAATGGCAGTGGAATTTTTTAATACCCGCATGTCGCAGTTTGTGGTCTTGAAAACCACAACTGGTCCGGAATGCTTTCCCGCAATTTGGTTCATCACAATGAAAGGGATACTCCTCGAGAGGTTTGTGAGTATACTGATGTTCAACGAGTTTCATAAGGGATCTGTATACTTTGCCACATTCTTCACAGACATGGTGAGTGGGTTCTTCGGGTTTTTCTTTAGTTTTTCGCGGCGTCTTTTTCCGGGTTTTTGATTTGGATGGTTTCTTTGCCGGAGATGAGGTCTCGTTTTCTGAATTACTACTCATTTCTTCTTCTCCTTTGTTAAAGTGATCACTGTAGTCCGAATCATCAGATGTTTGTATATTCTTATCCTCATCATTTGTTGGTATATCGTACAGATCAAGTGAGTCTTCCTTTTTGGGGGTGGCAGGGAACTGCAGAACAAAAGGAAAATAGGTTAGGAATTTGATTTCAGTCCTCATCAAGATAACATGGTAGCCCAAATTACCTCATCTTCCTTCCTTTTATCCAGCTCAATTTTAAGCTCCTCTCTTGGCGACGACTTGGGCAAGGCAACAAAATCAAATTCCAGCCATTCATGTTTAACACTTGATTCGGCTGGCTTTTCCGCCATAACATTGGGAGACATGTCAGTTAACATAGCCTCCCTTGCCAACATCTCCTCAAACATTTTCAATGATCGTTTACACATCTGATAGAACTCCAAAAATTTCTTCAATTTACTGCAGCATGAATTGCAGACATGCTCGGGATAATTGTCATCTGCCAGAGGATTTGTTAACGTTTCATCTTCCAACCATTGGCGTATCTTAATGTCCATATTATGCAGGTTATTTTTCATCTCTTGTTTGCGCAGCTCATGCATGCAGGCACGGCAGAGAGATTGCAGATCTTGTTTATTGTTGATTTTTTGCATATCGCGGAAGATTTTAAATTTCTGCGGGCTTTTTTGCACAATTTGTGTTTTGTTGCCGGAGAACAGTCCTTAAGTAATTAAGTAAGTAATCGATTTATTGAGACTAATTTCATTTCGATAACAAGATATGTACAGAGAATGATTTGCTTAATTTAGAATTATTATTGTCTTATTCTAACACGTATGTATTGTGCGATGCTACTTGCAAAAGAGACATGTTAAAGTTATATATGTATAGAAACATGTACGAAATCGATTAAAGGCTTGCTCCCGGCCTAAACAGTTGCTGACAGCGCTTCTGACGGCTGTCGAATATATGACAGTCCTTAATTTTTGCAATAAATTGAGATTTGTCAAAACAGCTGTTGTTCTCTTTGCATGGGGGAGAAGTAGTTGTACGTTATAGGAATGATGCGAGAGAGAAAAATGAACGTAACGTTGCAAACATAAACTATTTAGAAATAAAAGTTAAAATTAATATTAATTGTTTTTTAATAAAAGCTTATTAATTTTCTTAAAATATATATAAATATAGTGATTCTTTGCCATTTTTATTGTTTTTTGTCACCGATGTTAGGCATTATGTAGGGTGTCAATAAACGCATGGTGCACGTAACGGAAGTAACTACACAATGTAATTCGCGTTACTTTCGTGAATAACTAAAAGACAATCAGATGGTTAATTTATATTGCACATTCCAGGCAGATGAAGCTCAAGCTAGGAAAACTTTCCACATGGGGCATTGTGGGAAACTTCCGATAGGTATAGATCTTCTACAATCTATAGTTCTACGTATGGATTAATAGAAAGGAGCAAAAGCTAAGTCTTAATCACAATCTATAGAACCATATGACTTAATTCTTCGGCGACAACCAGTAAAGATACTTGCAAATATCGGCAAACAATGCATTCCGATTTAAATCGCGTTGTGTCCAAATGTCCAGTGTGGATCACTCCATTACACATTTTTGGAAGATCCACCTCTCCGATACATCCCTCAGAACTGCAGATGCTATGATATTTTAAATTAATCGTGCTATGGCACGAAAGTACTTTTATAGTTGACTTTTCATTGCCCATTTTACCAAGGCTTTCAATTTTTCGTTGTTTTTTTTTCTTAGGAAAAAAATATTAAATTTATTTACATTAAATAAATACTAAGTAATCTAGTCAGATTATAAAAGAAACAAAAAATCTACGAGCATAATTGCTATGTCATTCTAAAACTTTCAAGAGAGAATATTCAGCTATAAATGAATCTACCAGTTCGGGGTCCAAGGTAGATTTTGCTCTATCATAGATGACAGACACCAGTTTTAAATCACCCATGTCACGTTCGAATTTAAGTAAATCTATCCAGACATCTGTGTTCGTTTTGCCAAAGTAATGGACGGCGTTTTCATAGCACAAACGTAGACGGGAGGTGGGTGTTGACTAGAACAAGAAAAAAGAGAGGAAAATTCAATTAAAATTTTTAAATGGAAAATAATAGGCGATTTTACAATGCCAAAAGAAAATTATTTCGACAGAAAAAACACCCATGGAATTTGTGGAATTTTCATTCAACAGCATCGTAGAAGATACAGTAAATGTTGTAATTTCCTACCTTTGTCTTGGCCTGCAATTCAATTTCAATCATTTTCTTGTGCAAGTCCAAACATGGCGGTGGCATTTGGCACATTTCATCATACAACTCCCGGGCTTTCGCCAGCGATTCATTACGCATTGTATACTCCAAATAATATGCACGGAATGTAGCAAATTCAGGATGAATTTGTTTTGCTGCCTCTTGAAGAATAACCATTAACTTTTTGCCATGCTCCTCACTGTAGGCCTCGTAGAATTTTATGGCCAAATGCCACAGATCTATGCATTTTGTGACACCCAATTCATTGTTGGCCCGACAAAAGATTTCATAGAATTTTGATTGATTACCGGTTTTACTGTACACCTGCATCCATAGCTCATAGATTTTGTTGGCTTCAGATTTTTTGCACTCCAATGCTTCTTGAAGTATGATTTCTACTTGCTGCAGGCCATTGGGAGACTTGAGTAACATTTCCACTAGGGCTTGATAGTGTACTATGCTCATTAGCTGGGACTTGTGACCCATGTTAAAGGCCTTGGCCAGACAATGACGTTTCACATCTCCCTCCGATTTTATGTCATGATTCAGATCCAACATGGCATTTATGAAATACGACCACATGGCCTCGGTGGGCAGGGCAACAACGGCCTTTTCATAGACCTTAAAACACAGCTCAATACGTAGCTTAAGACTGCGACTCTTCCAGATACTCTCATGAGGTATATTGACTTCATCCGTTTCCATTTGTCTTTCCTGTAATTCGGCAACCTGTTGTACGGTGACCTCCTGTAAATCGATCATATTGTAGCCCCTCAATTCCCGCTGAGCCAAAAAATCCCACACCATTGGCTCGGCAAAGAAATTCTTCATTAGATCCTCAACTATTTCCTTTTGCAAAAGCACCGTACAATTTATGTAGCTGGGCTCTTCACATCTCTCCAGTAGTTTTAGATAATAGGCGACGTTTTTTATTTTCGTTTTGGTATTACGATAGAGGACAACGGCTCTTTCCAAACCTAGCTGTCGTTCCATAAGATCAATGGCATTGCTGACATCGGTAATGCGTGCCGTTTCCTTGATGAGTATGTCGAAGAATGCCAAATTAATAACTTCTGAGGCGGGGTGGCGTTTTAGGGCGCGAAAGAAGATTTCGGTGACTTGCTTTAGCTGATGGGTAAATTCATAGGCCCACAGACCATAATCACACCACACGGTGTCCTTGTCGCCATGGTACTGGAAAGGGAGAAGACGAAAGTATTGGAGTTATTTCTTTTTTGTAAAAAGTTGAACATTAAAAAAATATATAGAGATTAATTTATGCCTTTTGTATACACACTACTTACCCCCAACATTTTCTCATAAATACCAGAAACCTGTCCTGGATTCGATTTCTTGCTGAATTGTATGAAACTTTTCCACAGACGTTCCTCCTGTGGAAACTGTTGCGTGCCATTGCGATAGAGTTTGATGATACGTTGAATTATTGAACGCTTGACATCGGGAAGGGAACAATGCAGTTGATTCTCCTTCTCCGTTACCCATTTATGCGTATTTTTCTCGAATTGAATGTATTCAATGTAATTTATGATGCTTTTTTTACTTTGGATTAATTTCTTTTCGTAGCGTTCACGTTCCACCATTAATTTGCGTAGCTCATCGCTGGAGCAAATGCCACTGGCCTGAATTGACTCATATTCTGGCAGATCTCGTTCTTGGATCTCTTTGAGGACTTCGGCCATGATGTGTGGAGGATTTTATAAATAATTCTAAGAATTTCTTTCCTTACTTCTAGTATTTAATTCAGTTCTGTTGTAAACAAATAAAAGTAGCACGTTTTTTTATGCGGGGACTCTCTGTTTCTCTTTGACTGGGCACTCTCTTCCCTTATCATTTAGAAACTCAATCACAATAACTGTGACATTTGTCGGCATTTATTGGTTTATTTTGTTGATGTGGCATCTCCATTCACTGTTTCAACAGCTGTTTGCCACTTTGACATTCCTTCTTTAGTGTTTTGTTTTTTCTTTGATTTTGCTGATGTGTAAAGTTTCCTACGGGTCGAAGAAAATTTGTTTTTATCAAAAATCGCAATCAAACGGCGTGTAAAAATTTCCGTAACTTCTCACAAGCAATTCTCTTTGCACTCCTGTGCGTTGTAACAAAAGTGCATTTATCGAGTACGTGTGTGTCTCTCTTTCTGTCTGTATCTGTGTGTTTTCGTGAATACCCATTTTATTAGAGTGCATTCCACAATCCTCCTTCGGTGTAAATAATGAGTGATTCTTCGAAACCACAACAGCAGCGCTCGGGCGCAACTCCAATTAAAAATCCTCTGTTAAGTGCTTCTGTTACAGGTCTAACATTTGATGATTTTCCCAATAAGCCTCAATTGTTGCCGGCTGCTCCACCAATTGTCCATGCACCAGTGCCACCGCCATCGGTCACACCCTCAGCATTATTAGGAAGAGGTAAGTGGAGGTGCAGGATGTCAACCTTTCTTCATGATGTCCCTATTTTCATTGTGTTGTTTTTGTTTTAAGCTTACGAGAGTTATGTGTATACTCACTGACAACCTGTTGAACGTTGGAGTTTCTACATGACCATAATTTTATGTTTTCCTTTTTCGTTTTCATCTAATCTTATCAGAGAAATGTCAGGCAATAGTTAATACAAGTACAGGGTCACCCATTCGTGTTGTTGAGAGGGGGTAAATGACAGACATAAACATTTGTTTGTCAATGGGAAACTAAGATTTTTAGCGGTCAAATGTTGTCATTCACAATAGAGACGAGAGAAGGAGATTTGATAGGAAAAATATAAGCTAAGTTTGATAAAGCAAGATTTTGCAAACAATTTTTGCAAATTCTTGCCTAATGCTGTTCGATTACTGAAAGGCCCAATAAATGAGAGTGAGTACAGAGAGTCAATTTGAAAGGGCGGGAAAATGTGATCAATTCTGCTCAGTTAAAAGGTTTCCTTTATTAACTGGGTGTAAAAGTAACTTTTTGATATAAAACCACTCTAAAATCTTTAATAATGCAGATTTTTACATGAAATTTTGGCGAATGGTTGCTGAGGTGTTCCCACTCATGTTCCAAGGAGGAAAGGGGCATATTTTTTTTCTTAATATGTGCTTTATATCCTTTTTTAAAGTGTTTAACTACGAGAGTTAATCTGGTATGGTATATTTTTGTCCAGTTAAAATTGGTATTGTAATTGGTTCAAAACATATTTTTTTTAGCAGGACTTCTGAACTTGTAATCAAGAAAAGGACGAAGAAACTGCTCAGAAAACTTACTTTGAAATTGGGAAAGTGTTGAAGGAATTTCCACAATAGGCAGTGTTCCCATGGCCTATAAATAATACAAACGTTTTGTGTGAGTTTTCTAGAAGATATCTTTATTTCAAAACTTAATTCAAATTTGGCACTTATTTTCAAAAAAATCTTCAAGCTTAACCTATAATAAGGGATTTTTTCATTATAAAAATTGGTGATGTAAAATTAAAATTGTGTCCTCCTCCTATTCCATACTGCGTGTGGAATGTGAGCGATAAGTGGGCATATCCAATACCACCTTACGGCGACGACAACACCACACAATACCCCATATAATTAAGATCAATAAAATCAACAGCAAAATTACACCCAATGCTATGGCAGCAATGGCTGCCTCATTCAGAACAACATCTCTCACATCAATGCTGTAGGACTTCTGATTACCCACAACATCATAAACCACCAGGCTAACTTTGGGTTCACAACAGTTGGCTATGTATGTGGCCTTCAACGGTTCACTGCTACCAATGGTATAGGAATTGGTGTACATTAAACCTCCATTGGGATTCGATTGCAGGCGCATAACACCCGTCTGCCAATCCTGTGCCGTAACATATAAACTCCAAAAACGCGTGGAACACTCCGTGGCATCTGAAGTAGAGATACCATCGCAGCGGCTGCCAAAGTTCCATGAGAGAGCAGGAGCGGTGTTGTCCTGTAAGAGAAATTTTTGAATTTGAAAAATTCTTATACTTTAATTTGTTCCTTACCTGTATATCCGCTGCTGTAACAACCTTAAGATTCAATGACAGGGATGTGGTTTGACCCACACCCGTTGTTGAGAATGTAATGTGATCCACTGTGCCAGCTTCGGTGCCTTGTGGAGCCAATACTGTCACCGTAACTGTTGCCATTTGCCCAGCTTGCAGGAAAATACTGAAAAGGATAATATACAAAATTTTATTATGAAGCGCTTTGGAAATATTCTTCACTTGTTTGGAGTGTTATTGAAATATTGGTTTAAATAGAAAAGAAGGAACACTAAAGTCAAGAATGCGGAATTTGAGCGAACCTTAGGGATACAGCTTTTCTTTGTTTCTTAGTTTTGCCTCAAAACAAAAAAGTCGGTCTTTCGTTTCAAATGGATTAAGATTTTAACTTTTCAAACTAAAGTTGATTTCAGTTTTAGATTTTTGATGTGTTGCTGTTACGTGTTGATTTCAGTTAGTCTGGTTCTAGGTCTAAATTCAAGAATTCTGCTGCCTTCAAAGTCTATAGCCAAAGATCTTCAGGAGTGAGTTAGTTAGGTTTGGCATGGCAATTAAAATGGGATGCAGCGGAGTGAGATGGCAAACAATTGAAACAACTTAAAACAAAGCTATCCTGGTTTGTAGGCAGCCCACGATCTTCGGCTGCAATGAATGGAGTGGACTCCAAGGATGACATTCCTACTGTAGTTGTTAATAGCATCTTTGACTGCTACTTGTTGCCTGATAGGCTTCTTATTCCGAGACTATCTCTTATAGCATTGGTTCTCCCTGCCTAGAACATTAGGTCCTTCCTGATAAGCCTGGTTTGGGAATTTTATCCACCATATGATAGTTTCGATGATTCCTAGCATGTGGTTATGCTGATGTAAGTTTGTATTCGAATGTAGCAAACCACAGAGCGACCTATTGCCTAATAAGCGGTCAACTAGGTCTTCTTCGGAATCCATGTTGGTGACTGGAAGCTCCTCTTAATGCTGGGTTGAAGTTAAGACTTCGAAAGTTTTCGCTACTGCGACAAAAGCGAAGTCATTCTGTATGATTAGTTTTTGCTGGCATCCTTCAGTAGCGCGACCACCCAGCGCAAGGGTAAAAGGTTGTGGACTTTTATCAGGGGTTTTTTAATACCGCCATTGAGATTCTCTTCGGGGCCAACGCTTTGGATGACTTAGCATTTCGGTGTAAAGATATCTAATAGTTATGTTCGCTTAGCTCTATCGCTCTTGGTTTGTTCGACAAATAGCTGGTTAAAGTAACCAGCGAGCTTCTTTATATCAGACACCGTTACGTCATTAAACGTGACTGAGGCGATATCATCCTTTTCACCAGGGTTCCAGAGCATGAAAATGTATCGGAAAATCCTTTCTGCCATCCGAACATCAGAAGGGTTGGGCAGTTATATGAAGCAGTTTGTTGAACACTCGGTATTCTGGCCAGTGAGTCTTTCCATGGCGAAAAAACGCGCGGCGTTTGTAGGTTTTTAAATCGGAGATATGCTGATTGAGACGATGAAAAGGAGATGTCCTGATCTAAGAGAAATGACGCGATACCAAGTCGTCATTTGTCACATCAGGTGGTACTATTTTAAAGTCTGGCTAACTGTGATATTCTCTTCTTATTCGGGTGGGGTAATCAATCTGCCCTGATTTACCTAGGACGGAATGCCACAGCTCATGGTGGGCATTGAAATTCCCTAGATTCCCAGACGGTTATTGTTATTGCCTGGTAAATAACCCGGTTTACAGATACCATATAGAGGGATATGTACACAAAACAGCTCTACATTGGCAGTTCCAGTTGGCAGGGTCACTCTAGACTAGCTCAGGTGAGATAGGACTGTATTAAAGAAAATGGTGTAACAGGAAAGCCAATCTCCCATCTCCACTTCTGGTCCGGTTTCTCCTCACTACGTTGTAATTATAAATATTGCCTCAATTCCCTAGCAACCTATTGATGATCCATTTAATTTTGTTAAAATATAGAGTCTTCTATGAATCTCTATCTTCCCTATACCTTTTTATGATTATATCCTCCTGTTTACAATTACATTCCAACTTACCTCTGCGGTGCCAAACGCATCAGATAACGTTTCTCATCGACCACCTGTATGCTATATAGAATACTATCGCAACCGGTATTTGTAACTTCAAAATACAACTGGCCCATCATGCCGGCCGATATCAGCACTTGCGAGTGAATACCCATTTCAATTTTAGTATTTGTCCGCTGCAAAACATTGGTGCTACGAGGATTTAACATTGTATTTTGGGCTGGTACAGCATCTGTGCTAGAATTTTTCGGCAGCACTTCCTGCGTATTGCGATGAATTTCTGTCGCTGAAAATGTTTCAACTTGAGATTTTGGTTCATTTGAATTCGTTGCTGTCTTGTCATCGGGAAAGCGTAAATTGCTATGGGTCATTGGCATTTTGGAGATGGTTAGGCCTGATGTAATGCTTTGGATTTTCGCATTGCGCAAACGTGCCGGGTATAGGGTATGACCTTCATAGAAATAGGTTTCAAAGTGTTTGATGACATCGTCTGAAAAGGGAATGAAAAAATACAGAAGAGAAACGAAGATATGATATTATTTTTGAAATAATACTTAATGTTTTGAAAATAAGTAGAAAAATATTTTTCAATTTTATCGAGCTTACTCAAAATATATCTCTTCAAATAAACAAATAATAAAACCAAAGTAATTTGAGTAGCATCGAAAATGCAATCGAAATGTTAAATTATAATCTCAATTTTATGACGTAGAATTAAATAAGTGTGTTTATATATTTTCCAAATATTTTTTTCTATTTTAAAAACTGACCCACATACCCACATACCCAAATCCCTTATCTCTTGGCCTGCCAGCATTTTTGCTTCCTATTTTATGAACTAATCAAACTTATCTAGAACTTGCTAATAACAAAATAGCTTTCAAACAATATTTTTTAGTATTATTATTATTTAAAATCAAATAAAATTCAAAACAAATGCATTAAAACACAGCTTTGTTTCATAACCAAAAAAAAAAAAAAAAAAAAAAAAACGATGATGATCTATCTAAAGCTTCTCAAAGGTGAATTAATGTTATCATCATCATATTTTTGAACGCTATCATCGCTATGTTCGAAAAATCAATGAGTGTAGAAAAAATATTTAGATTTTATTTTGTGTGTACATGAATGATTAAATTGCCCCATTAGTAATCCGAGAATCGTGAAAGTGCCCAGTACTTACCCAAAAATGTGTCGGCCTTACGTTCGCCTCGTATAAACACTGTGTATTCGGCATTCAAATCTTCGGGTATAATTTTCAATTTATATACGGTGGCTTTGCGTAGCTTCGTCAACGGTACAAAGGCATCCAGGCGATTGTCATCTTCGGGTGTTGTCATAAATGGAATTTTAAATTTTACCAATTTTTTCAAATTAATATCTGTGAGGAGGAGAAAAACAAGGAAACGAAGAAAAAATAATTAAAGTGATTTATAGAAGCAAGATAATTGAAGTTTTAAATTATATGGCAAGAATTTTCTTTTTTGTATGGAAAGACTTGCCATATTATCTGAAAGCAAAAAAAGTTAAATATGAGAAAGAGTGGAGAGTGAGAGATAAACTCTTTTAGACATTATCTAATGGAAAGAAAAAAATTCTTTGGTAAATCGAACAGTCGATTTTTCACGACATTCAAAAGTCGATTTCTTTGTTAAAATATCAAAATATGATTAAGTTTTAAATAATCTGGCAAGGCTTTTCTTTTTTCTAAGTAAATACTTGCCATATTATCTGAGAGCAAAAAAAGTTAAATATGAGAAAGAGAGGAGAGTGAAAGATAATTTTTTTTAGGCATTATTTAACGGAAAGAAAGCTAATTCTTTGGTAAATCTTACAGTCGAATTTTGAAGACTTTCAAAAGTCGATTTTTTTTGTTAAAATACCAATATGTGATTAAGTTTCATATAGTCTAAATTCGCTTAATAGCTCCCCAGTCCAGACGAAATTCCTACACACAGGGTGACATAAAAAAAAGCTGCAACAATGTTAAACGCCATAATTTTTACATTTTTTTTTAAATTTTATTGAATGAAAGCAAAAAATGTCTGAAATAGCATCAAATTTTAAAATAAATTTAGATTTATTCGAATTGGTCACCTTTGGCACGAATTATGGCCTTCAAAAGGGCCAATGAAACCATCACACTCTGCCCGAAGGTTGCTCTGCGGTATTTTGGCCCATTCCCGGTGAAGCGCTTGCTTGAGATGATCGAAACTTTGGTATTTTTTTAGTGCCAACCTTGCTTTCCAAAATACTCCAGATACAATAGTCCAATGGATTGATAATCCGGGGATTTTGGTGGCCATTGTGCACTGGAAATGAAGCGAGGAACCTCCCTTTTGTAATCATTCTTGAGTGGCGTGTGCTGAGTGCGATGGTGCTGAGTCCTGTTGGAATGTCCGAGGTCTGCGGCCATAATGTTTGCGTGCCCAAGGCTTTAATATACACTCCATAATATTTTCGCGATTCGGCATTTATTCTGATGCCACGGTCGATTAATACGAGCGGAGAGCGACCATCGGCTGTTATGGCGGCCCACACCATCACCATGGCCGACGCTTGAGTTCTGTTCTGCTGGCCAACCGAAGGTGCACATTTTCAGCTGACCTTTTTTGGCAAGTAAACACGATCATTTTATTTGTTTACAAACTGCTGGACAACGAATGTTTTCTCATCGGAGAAAACTAAATTCGGCAGTTCACCACTTTCGGCCAAGCGAAGCAACTCTTTAGTTCTTTTGAGTCTTTTTTCTTCCTGTTGCGGTGTAAGTTCTTGCACTCTTTGGAATTTCAATGGCTTTATCCCGAGCTGAATGGAATATTGCGATATGTTCAGCTCACGATCCATTTCAGCTTGTCGGCCACTGCGATGCGGGTTTCGATCAGATCGCTTCTTTACTATTTCAGCTTATGTTGCTGTTTTCTTCCGTCCACTTCCTTGACGTCGGGCTACGCTACCAGTATCACGGTAACGAGCGATGGTACGAGACTCAAAAGATTTATTCGCATTTAAAGGCTGGCGTGCTCTAACGATAGAAACTTGTGGTTTTTCAGCCAAATAAACGAAATCACACTATCACCCTTGAATTCCATTACGAATAACTTTTTTTCTGGAAAATGCTCACCAAAATGCTTTTCTTCGCTTGTAAACAATAGAATAAGCTGGCACTGGAATAATTTTAACAGCTGTCGGACGAATGGCTTAGAAATGACAGCAGTCTGAAGTTTTGTTGCAGTTTTTTCATCTCACTTTGTATATTTTGTGTGAAAATAGATAATTTAAGAAATCTTCACCTTCCATTCATTTTTAGCATTTTTCTATTATTTATTTAAATAAGTCAAACAAAACCACTTGTAGCATTTGTTTTGATAGTAATTCTAACTTTACAATCCATAAATTCAGTCCTCTGTACCAATTTAAAGTCGACTTATAAATCTTTAATCTGGTAGTGGCTGTCTTTGCAGCGGTTTAGTTCATTGTTTGCTTTCAAAATCCACTTTTTTTGGCAAGAATTACGTCTAAGAAATTGTAAAACGTAGTCACCAGTAAATGTTCAATGTTTTAAAATAATCATTAATCTATTTTAAACATATTTTGATCAGTAATAAATCATATTTATTTATTGGTACGTTCATTATACCAATCCAAAGTCGACTTATGAATCCCTAATCAGATAGTAGTTTAATTCATTCTTTGCCTTGAAAATTAATTTTTGGGCACGAATTACCTCTAATAAAAAAGTGACCAATAAATGTGCAATACTTTAAATAATGCATTAATCTATTTTACGCCTATTTTAAAAAGGAATAGTGCACATGTTTTATATATATGCTCATTTTTTGCTTGCCAAATGTAAACAATCTGGCAACTCACTTTATTTCTCTTTCTTCATTATTCCGTATAAATTGTGATTGAAAAAAAATGTAAACAATAAACTACCCCATTTCAATTGTGAATACACGGTACTTTCGCTCTTACCATTGTGAATGCTTCACATTGACCGTTCGATTCGTGGTTGTATCATCGCCACAACGCCGACTGTTTACAATAACAACTACCATCATTTGTGGCGCACACAACAAAAAGAAAACAGTCGATGCAAAAAGCCCCCAGAAAAATGCGAATTTCATGGCAAAAACAAAATGTCAAATAAGAATGAAAGAAAATATATTCAATAGACGTATGTCGTCGTCGTCGTTGTTGTGATATTAGACAAGTTAAGTGAAAAGGAATCTCTTGCTCTCTCCCGGTGTTTAGTAAGAAAAGAATCTTATTGCCCGACAAATGTGAAATGTCTTGAAAAGTGTGAATAAAGAAATTTATTAAAAAAAAATAACAACGAAATCTCTATTAAAAAAATAAAGTGTTAATTATTGTGAAATACAAAGTTGATAATTACATTGCCTTGTTTTAATTGCCAACGAAATATAACAACAACGATACAAATAGAGATGTATAATACGGCAATAGTGTGAAATTATTTAGTTTTTGTTTTGGTGCTATTTGTGTGTGTTTTTTATTGCAAAAATCATTGAAAGGGAACGAAATCTGTGGCGAAATATTAAAAAAAGGTAAAAATTATTGTTTTTAATAAAAAGCGCAAAATATTGTGAAAAAATCCTCTATTGCTGTGTGACTCAAAGGACTTGCTGTTAAGTTGTTGCTATGTTTTCTTTTTCGTTTGCATTCATTGTGTGCCACCATATTACGAAAGGATGGAAGCTATGAGAAACATACGATTTTGTTGTCATAGGTTTTAGTGGGCATAGGGTTGCCGTAATACAGTGAATTTGTGTGTTTTTATTGGATGATAGTGGGGAATGTTGCGCTACTTGTTGATTGAAATTAGTGATACAGATTAATGAAAATTGGTGTTATAGACGAACGAATCGGAAATTAAACGAAAATTGGCAGCAAATTTGGTTGGACTCAACCCATGAAATGTATTTGGACGTTTATAAAAAAAGAATTATTTACAGATTTAACAAATTTTTTTGTTTTTTAAAATTGAGATGTACCAAGTCTGAATGGAATCAGATGTTAATTCAGCGTTTTAAGAGCTTCATGAACTTTTAAAATTTTTGACCCTTTGTGGGGGAGATACCAGAAGGAGTGGATTGATATATCCCAACTTTACAGCAGATCTTGTGTTGTGTAGAACTAATGGGATTTGTTAAATATGAAGAGAACCGGATGCTTATTTCGGACTTTATAATCGTTTTGGTTATTCAAAATTTTGACCCTTTGTGAGGGAGGTACCCGAAGGAGTGGACCGATATGTTTCATATTCACACCAGACCTTGGGTTAATATAAATATTGTGATAATTTTGAACACAATTGGACTCATAAATCACATTTTATAGGAGCTATAATTATTCAAAATGTTCACTCTTTGTGGGGGAGGTATTTGATGGAGTGGACCGATATTGTCCACTTTTGTTCCAGACTGATAACTGATGTAAATTTTAGAATTTGCAAAGTTCGAGCTAAATCGGATTATCCTTTCTCTTTCTGTGCAGTAGGGTTGCCCATATTCGACGGACCCATCTGGCAACGCCATAACTTTTGACAGAGATGTCACATCGCTTAATGACATACCGCGTTTGAAGCGTCAGTCCAAGCAGATTTTTACCATGAACCAATACACGCCACGCGAGCGCTCTGAAATAGTTGAAATTTACATTCAACAGAAGACGTCAATTGTGAAAACTGAAAGTGCTTTTAAAACATTAAAAAATGTGAGAAGTGCGCCTTCTAAGAACACCATTAAGCGTTTATACCAAAAATTTTCGACTGGTAAGGCTCTTTCTAATCCGAAGAGGCGATATAAAAGTCGACCAAGGCGATCGGCCGAGAATATCGCTGCCGTACGAGCCAGTGTTGAGAGGTCCCCAAGAACATCCCAAAAACGCCGTTCTCGGCAGTTGGGCATGGCTCGGTCCACTTTACAACGGATTATTCGCATTGATTTGCATTTGTTCCCGTACAAAATTCAATTGACGCAAAGAATGTTGCCAGCTGTACAAGCCTCGACAAGCTGGACAAGCCTCGTCGATTGGAATGGGCCCAAAGTTCCGTCGAATATGGGCAACCCTGTATATATGTTTTTTGAAAACCTCGAAACGTTTGCAAAACACTTGTCTTTTAAATAAAATATAAACAATTTTTCTTTGAATAATTAAATTTTCCCTTCAGGAGGTACCAGAAGGAGTGGACTGATATTGCCCATCTCCGAACTCGATCTAAGTTTGATAATAATATTGCGATGTACCAAGTTTGGACGAAATCTAATACTCCCTTTGAGAGTCATCGTGCGCACCAGTCAGCCAGACGAACGGACATCGCTAGATCGACTCCGAACGTCCTGAAACTGGTTTGAT